TAACACCAGAATTGGATGACCTTCCCTTAGATATAAATCAACACAACAAAAAAACACTATAGATCTGGAGAAAAAGTTACTTGCCAAATATGAGAGGTCTATCTCTAAACCTGTTGGAAACACTTATGACATATGTATTAGCAGACAATGACAATGCCCCATTCTACACATATCTACCAGTGATATCAATGCTGTGACAATGCCCCATTCTACACATATCTACCAGTGATATCAATGCTGTGACAATGCCCCATTCTCCACATATCTACCAGTGATATCAATGCTGTGACAATGCCCCATTCTACACATATCTACCAGTGATATCAATGCTGTGACAATGCCCCATTCTACACATATCTACCAGTGATATCAATGCTGTGACAATGCCCCATTCTACACATATCTACCAGTGATATCAATGCTGTGACAATGCCCCATTCTACACATATCTACCAGTGATATCAATGCTGTGACAATGCCCCATTCTACACATATCTACCAGTGATATCAATGCTGTGACAATGCTCCATTCTACACATATCTACCAGTGATATCAATGCTGTGACAATGCCCCATTCTACACATATCTACCAGTGATATCAATGCTGTGACAATGTACCATTCTCCACATATCTACCAGTGATATCAATGCTGTGACAATGCCCCATTCTACACATATCTACCAGTGATATCAATGCTGTGACAATGCCCCATTCTACACATATCTACCAGTGATATCAATGCTGTGACAATGCCCCATTCTACACATATCTACCAGTGATATCAAATGCTGTGACAATGCTCCATTCTACACATATCTACCAGTGATATCAATGCTGTGACAATGCCCCATTCTACACATATCTACCAGTGATATCAATGCTGTGACAATGTACCATTCTCCACATATCTACCAGTGATATCAATGCTGTGACAATGTACCATTCTCCACATATCTACCAATGATATCAATGCTGTGACAATGCATCTTGATATGGCCTATAGTGGTGACAGACTGTACTGTCAAACAAAGCTGAGAGTGAAAGACTATTTGAGATGCACACGTACATGAGTAAGTCTTTGTCAGAGCTAACAAGCCACAACTGAACGACGTATGTCATTTTTTTCCTAAACTCAGTGAAAAAAACTGTAGACTATTGTGTGCTTAACTTTCAGAAACATTAACACTGGGAAAAAATGGTTCTGAAAAATGTCAAGGTAGGAGATCCTTCATCACAGCCAGGGCTTCCCCCAGACTGACCACACGCTGGGTTTCTGGTGGACCCTCTGCCAAGCACTTTAGGCACTGTGATGAGTTCTGTGGCCACTCTTGGTGGGTCTTTTAGGTCCCAGTTGTTGTTGCTAGTCAACTTTCAGTGGAGACCCCCATGAGTGTCTTTCAGATCCCCTCCTAAAACCCCACCTGTTTCGGTTGTTGTCAGTGACTCTTTGTTAGTTCCCCTTTCTGTTTGAGTGACAATTTTTGCTTTTCTTGCTGGGGAACGTACAACCTCAACACAATGACACTTGCCTAGTAATATAGAGAAAAGATACACCAGAATTGGAATCCGATTTACCATATTTCAGGTCTAGGAGTGCCCAGGGGGAAGGGTGTAGGGGCTAGGGGTCTAGAGTGATATGCTGTCGTTACAGTCAGTGTCTCATTAGAACCCTCTCATGGGCTCCTCAATGTCTCATTAGAGCCCTCTCATTGGTCCTAGGTGGAATGCATGACATACACAACCAGGACCTTAGCAACCTTGTTGCATTCCGCTCAGGCACACCGAGAGTGACGACTGAGAGTGAGACAGACTATTGTTGACGTCATCACTCCTTATCAGTGAGACTGGATCAAATCAAATCAAATTTTATTTGCCACATGCACCGAATACAACAGGTGTAGACATTACCGTGAAATGCTTACTTACAGCCCTTAACCAACAATGCATTTATTTTTTTATAAAAAAGTAAAATAAAACAACAACAAAAAAGTGTTGAGAAAAAACGAGCAGAAGTAAAATAAAATAACAGTAGGGAGGCTATATATACAGGGGGGTACCGATGCAGAGTCAATGTGCGGGGGCACCGGCTAGTTGAGGTAGTTGAAGTAATATGTACATGTGGGTAGAGTTAAAGTGACTATGCATAAATAATTAAGAGTAGCAGCAGCGTAAAAAAGAAGGGGGTGGGGGTGAGGTGGGGGGGCAGTGCAAATAGTCCGGGTAGCCATGATTAGCTGTTCAGGAGTCTTATGGCTTGGGGGTAGAAGCTGTTGAGAAGTATTTTGGACCTAGACTTGGCGCTCCGGTACTGCTTGCCGTGCGGTAGCAGAGAGAACAGTCTATGACTAGGGTGGCTGGAGTCTTTGACAATTTTGAGGGCCTTCCTCTGACACCGCCTGGTATAGAGGTTCTGGATGGCGGGAAGCTTGGCCCCAGTGATGTACTGGGCCGTACGCACTACCCTCTGTAGTGCCTTGCGGTCGGAGGCCGAGCAGTTGCCATACCAGGCGGTGATGCAACCAGTCAGGATGCTCTCGATGGTGCAGCTGTATAACTTTTTGAGGATCTGAGGACCCATGCCAAATCTTTTCAGTCTCCTGAGGGGGAATAGGCTTTGTCGTGCCCTCTTCACGACAGTCTTGGTGTGTTTAGACCATGGTAGTTTGTTGGTGATGTGGACACCAAGGAACTTGAAGCTCTCAACCTGTTCCACTACAGCCCCGTCGATAAGAATGGGGGCGTGCTCAGTCCTCTTTTTTTCCCTGTAGTCCACAATCATCTCCTTTGTCTTGGTCACGTTGAGGGAGAGGCTGTTATCCTGGCACCACACGGCCAGGTCTCTGACCTCCTCCCTATAGGCTGTCTCATCGTTGTCGGTGATCAGGCCTACCACTGTTGTGTCGTCGGCAAACTTAATGATGGTGTTGGAGTCGTGCCTGGCCATGCAGTCATGGGTGAACAGGGAGTACAGGAGGGGGCTGAGCACGCACCCCTGAGGGGCCCCCGTGTTGAGGATCAGCGTGGCAGATGTGTTGGGGAGACTGGAGACGTGAGAAACTCTGGGTTTTTATTAACATATCTATAGATCCTGAACCCAGCCACACCTCCCACTGGGGTAAAACAATAGAAATACACTGAAGCAGACCCCAGGTTTGGGCTCAGACAGGTATGGTTACTGTATTCTATTATTTTATCCTACTGACTGCTCCCCCTGGTGGCTGAGAGAGGAAGGAGCAGGCTGAATGTGTCCTTGAACAGATCCTTCTCTACTGTGGGGAAAACATGAAAACTAAAACCACAGATAGAACAATGAGCCAGATACTTCACCAGATGTATAAATGTGAAGTATCTGGTTGGCGTTTCCACTCACTACCAAATATGGTGACGAGAGGAAGCTCAGTGACCGGCAGTGGGAGAAGATGGAACGAAATGGATTTTGGCCGACATTCTGCCAATTTTATCATCAATGAAACATTTGATCTCCATACAGTTTTCTGTTTCCAAAACTAGAATCAATAACAAACAGGGTGGACTGCGTTTTTTAGACTTGAAATGAGTTCTTGTACACGTTCACTTCACAGAGTAGGCGTTCCGTAACGGAAATATGCAAATAAATGCTGGAACACGCCAATAGAATCTCACTAGCTCGTGCTTGGCTCTGCCCATCTCTTTGCTTGTTCTGTCCTAACTATGATTAATTTGCTCCCATTTTAAACGACAAGCTTTGGTCTTATCTTGAGTTACTTCAAAAAAAAAATGTTTGCTAAAACAGCTATTGCATGCATACTGCATCACACAAAATGGTTGTCATTCAAGGGATATGACTCAAAATGACAGCATCTGCTGATTTACCAGACTGGCTCCCTCATCAGCAGGGAATGAAATTAACACCAGCCACCAGCTGGTAGAGTTTGGCATTGGCTGGTAGAATGTCTATTCTTACCAGGCACATTGGCGGGTTGTCACTCAGTTCAATCCAAAGCCCACATGCAAAACATGTGCATGCGTTTTCTATGATTTATCTTCATTCTTTTCGTTAGAAAATGTGGGCATCCACCAGCCACCCTACTCATCAGTTACCATTTGTGATAACTACGTTTCTGTCTTGAACCTGTGTATGCTGTTTTTTTCCCGTTATTTCCCCCTGTTATAGATAGGTAAAAAACCCTGCATGAGCTGTACAACCTCAAAGACCAATGGCTGTGTTACATTTGCTGATACCAGAAATTTGAGAGCAGCAATAGCGGTAAAATAATGAATTTTTCAAGGAATAGTTTTTTGGTAGAATTGAAGAAAGAAAAAAACAATAGTGTATTGATCATAGAGGTATTGATTTATAAGATCTCGTGTAGATAGGATGAGATGACGCGAGAGGAGCAGCGAGATGTGTGTTTAGGGGGGTTCCACACCACATGACCGCGCACTCATTCCCTTCTGCGTAGCGACGCTAGAGTGTGTTCCGGAGCTAGACTCGGCACACATTTTATTATCAAAAAACAAAAAACTAAAAAAATAAACACAGGGGAAGAATATTTTTGTAAGAAAAAAAACTCGGTGAAGCAGGACTAACAAGTAACCCGTCGAAAATAGGACGAGAATTCGAAGAAGGCCATTTTGCTCCCTTGATAACATTATCGTTGAAGGCGTGGGTGATTTCATATTGATAGCTAGCTAACTGCTGCGGGAAAAAATAGACTTTTTAGATATAGCTAGCAGTTTATCGGAATTGTCGATATCGCATCTGTTGTTATTGTAACGTTAACTAGTCGTAGTTTAAGAATATTGTAACTACTAGCAACTTTAGTCCGAAATTATTTTCCCAGAAGGTAACGTTAGCCGGCCCGCATTGCTTTTTAGGCCTGATTGCGAGGTAACGTTAAACATTTTTTAGGAAATAACGAATCATTTTGCAGACGTTAACCTGACAACGTAACGTTTTTTCCCCAACGTATTTTTTTAATTTTTTTAAACGTCGTCTGACAATACGCGCCAGCAGACATGAATCCGAGCGCGCCCAGTTACCCGATGGCCTCACTCTACGTCGGCGACCTGCACCAGGATATCACCGAGGCCATGCTGTACGAGAAGTTCAGCCCCGCCGGGCCTATCCTCTCCATTCGAGTCTGCAGGGACATGATCACTCGTCGATCCCTCGGATATGCCTACGTTAACTTCCAACAGCCAGCCGATGGTAAGAATTGATGTTTTAAAGAAATAATCGTATTTTATATTTTTTACGGATGTACCAATGAAAATATAACATGACGTGGCTCGCACGTTCACGTTGCACCAAAAATGGCAACCCGTGGGATGAATAACATTAGGTCTAGTATAGAATGACGCGCATCCAGTTGGACTTGGTTTCAGTTCAGCAAACTATGTAGGCCAACTAGTCATTGAGTGTCCTAATTAGCTGTAGCGTTAGGTTCAATGATTAATTGGAGTATCAGCTGCATCACTGCTACAATATGGTATTCTTCCCCCACATACAATGGAGCAGTTTCCTTCAACAGCATTCTAATGGTATGGCTCCCGATATGTTCCTAGCTGAGCGTGCCCTGGACACCATGAACTTCGACGTCATCAAGGGGAGACCTCTGCGCATCATGTGGTCTCAGCGCGACCCTTCCCTGAGGAAGAGTGGTGTGGGCAACATCTTCATCAAGAACTTGGACAAGTCCATTGACAACAAGGCCCTCTATGACACCTTCTCAGCCTTCGGCAACATCCTCTCCTGCAAGGTAGGCTGAGAGAGGTTCTGGCTGTGTGGCTGCCATATGCTATGTTGTTCAGCATGCCAAAACAATGCAGTAGTGTTGGTTGAAGTCTGTGTTGAATTGAGTCTGTTTGATATGCATGATGTTTTAAAAACCATTGCCTGTGCTCTTTGATGTCCTTTCTCCAAGGTGGTTTGTGATGAGAATGGCTCAAAGGGCTATGGCTTTGTGCACTTTGAGACCCAGGAGGCTGCTGAAAGAGCCATTGAGAAAATGAACGGCATGTTGCTCAATGACAGAAAAGTGTAAGTGTGATCAGTCCACCTTTATAAACTTGGACATAGTAAATAATAGATGGGTCCAACGTTAGTGCAGCAATAACTCAAACGTACAGAAATGTAACAGAGTTGTAAATGGGAACTGGTTTTCATTTAACTCCTGGTTCAAGAATGGTTAAATAATAGCAGAATTTGTTTTTGTGTGAGTTCTAACTTTAATCTTACTAACTCAGGTTTTTCTCAAGTCAACTAATATAGAACGGTTGCTCTGTATCCTTGTGCTCCTCTACTCACTGCCTTGTCAAAATCAATACTCTTCCCTGGGGTTTAGTCTAAATGGTGGTTAATGTAGACCTACAGTTATGTAGATGTAACAAACATGACCAAGCTCATGTTTCTCCCCCAGCCACTCTGTTTTTCCCCTCTCTACAGATCGGTCGCCTTTCTACACACTATTCAGCTAACAATATTATTTTAACATACAACAGGTTCGTCGGACGCTTCAAATCCCGCAAAGAGCGCGAGGCTGAGCTTGGAGCCAGAGCCAGAGAGTTCACCAATGTGTACATCAAGAACTTTGGAGAAGATATGGATGATGAGAAGCTGAGGGAGCTGTTTGGGAAATATGGTAAGTGTCTACCACGTTTTGTGTGTTACCCCCAGGGATGTATTCACTAGGACGCTACCAGGATGAAGCGGGGAGGGGCCTACCTCATTATGTCCAATAAGAAATGTTTTGTCAAATGTAATTAATGAGTCCAGCCCAGATGTGTTGATTGTTCCTCTTGTAGTAAATGTTGGTTCCATAGAATTAGAATTTGATGCCGTTTTGTGTTGGACTCTATTGTTCCAGGACCGGCCCTGAGCATCAGGGTGATGACGGACGACAGCGGGAAGTCCAGAGGGTTCGGCTTCGTCAGCTTTGAGAGGCATGAGGATGCTCAGAGGGTGAGTTGGGCCATACGTTTCCTTATCATCACTGTCTGGATGTTCAAAAGGGCTGAGTGTCCTGGAGAACAGGGTTTTTGACCTCAATCTGGATCCGTATATTCTCTCTTCAGGCTGTAGATGAGATGAATGGGAAGGATTTTAACGGCCGCCAGGTGTACGTGGGCCGCGCCCAGAAGAAAGGAGAGCGCCAGACGGAGTTGAAACGCAAGTTTGAACAGATGAAACAGGACCGCATGACCCGCTACCAGGGGGTCAACCTGTACGTCAAGAATCTGGACGATGGCCTTGACGATGAGCGTCTAAGGAAGGAGTTCTCTCCCTTCGGTACCATCACCAGTGCCAAGGTAACCTTCCTGAGTCAACATCACCCTCTGATTGAACATTACCTGGAGATGTCAGGAGAAACTTGGGGATTACAAATGTAGAATTGCATTGTTAACTTACAACTGTATTAGCACAGTGTGAAAATAAGCTCCACTATATCAGTTGTCTGGGAAGAGAGAGAACTGCGTCTACAGTAATGTGGTGTTAAGCTTATTGCCTGCTCTGCATAGCAGAGTGTCTACAGTAATGTGGTGTCTACACCCGCTGTCATTCAGGTTCAGATACCACTTTAAAAACCACTGTATCTAATGTACCTCTCTATAGGTGATGATGGAGGGTGGCCGCAGCAAGGGCTTCGGCTTCGTGTGCTTCTCCTCCCCCGAGGAGGCCACCAAGGCTGTGACGGAGATGAACGGGCGCATCGTGGCCACCAAGCCGCTGTACGTGGCGCTGGCTCAGAGGAAAGAGGAGCGCCAGGCTCACCTCACCAACCAGTACATGCAGAGGATGGCCACCGTCCGGCCCGTACCCAACCCAGTCCTCAACCCCTACCAGCCTGCCCCTCCCTCTGGGTACTTCATGGCTGCCATCCCCCAGACTCAGAACCGTGCTGCTTACTACTCCACCAACCAGCTGGCTCAGCTGAGACCAGGCCCACGCTGGGCCACCCAGGGTGTCAGACCACAGCGTAACTATCTACATAGTTGACATTTTAGAATTTAACTGCTATTTTGGTGTGTCCAAATCACTATTAGTCAACAGTTCCACTGGAGACTAGAACCTAATTCTCCATCCAGGAAGTTGTTAGATTTTTAATGATCCCTTCTACTTCCAGACTTCCAGAACATGCCCAACGCCATGCGTCCGTCCGCCCCCAGACCCCAGACCTTTGGCGCCATGAGGCCCTCGTCATCTCAGGTGCCCACGCATGATGGCCGGCCAGAGAATGGGTGAGTTTAGCTGGTGACCCAGCCCTGCACATAGCTTGGAGATTTTCACAACCACCTCTCATCTTGCTACCATTTACCTGATTATACTGTCTGTTAAAGGATTTTTAAGCCTTGAGACAATTCAGACATGGATTTTGTATGTGCCGTTCACAGGGTGAATGGGCAAGACAAAATATTTAAGTGCCTTTGAACAGGGTATGGTAGTAGGTGTCAGGCGCACCGGTTTGTGTCAAGAACTGCTACGCTGCTGTGTTTTTCCACGCTCAATAGTTTCCCATGTGTATCAAGAATGGTCCACCACCCAAAGGACATCCAGCCAACTTGACACAACTGTGGGAAGCATTGGAGTCAACATCCCTGTGGAACGCTCGACACCTTGTAGAGTCCATGACCCGACAAATTGAGGCTGTTCTGAGGTCAAAAGGGGGTGCAACTCTGTATTAGGGTGGTGTTCCTACTGTTTTGTACACTCAGTATGTCTTGAATATATGAATCTCTCTTGGATGTTGAGCGACTTCCTCCTCTCTCTCCTCAGCCACCCAGGCCCTGGGCCAGCGTCCTACCGGTGCGGCGGCTGCAGCCCCAGTGAGGATGCCCCAGTACAAGTATGCAGCAGGTGTGAGGAACCCCCAGCAGCACATGGCCAGCCAGCCCCAGGTAATGCAGCAGCCTGCTGTCCACGTCCAGGGGCAGGAGCCTCTGACTGCCTCCATGCTGGCCGCTGCTCCTCCCCAGGAACAGAAGCAGATGTTGGGTGAGTCTAAAGTTCCTCTCTTCTCTTTTACTGGCCTTCCGATCTCCAGCTCCTTCAGTTAAAGGTGCTACACATTGAATTTATTAGAATTTGTGCGTTGTAATTTCAGAAAATGACCATAATATATCTGCAGTAATAATGGAATGATAGTTTTTCACTGTTACTTACCCAGCAGTGTTGTGATTGGCTGTGATATTGCCAATTGATTTCTCCCGCCATTTCCTGGTTGCTAAAATTCTAATAGTTAGCCTAATTTCAGTTTATGTGACAAAACAAGCATTATTGTGTAGAGAGTCATTCTACCGCTGTGAAATATATTTTCCATAACCAAACATATTGTATTTTCAGCTGTTTGAAGCTGGTGCACAAAACCATAAGTAAAAGACGCAAAAATTAAACGTTTATAACGGGAAGCATAGAAATAGCGCACACAGAACAGATCTACTGCTTCTTAGACTTGCTTTCAATGAGAATGACAGATCGATAACTCACATTTCTATATTAATTTTGACGGTTCGCCCAAAAAGTTGCATATTGCAGCTTTAAAATACGATCAACATTTAGGTGCTCTTTGTCAATGATGTTTTCAGTAGAAATGTCTGAACATATGAATTTCAGTGATTCTTATTTTTTGACTGAGACAAGACCCCCAACCTATTACATGCGTGAACACTGGATGAGGAATATCTGTTGGCCTATCTCCTGGCCCTAAATGGCTGGTGATCCTCTTTCTGTGTCTGGGTCTTTTCCTGATGGTGGATTCTCTTCCCCCACTCCCTCTGCAGGTGAGCGTCTGTTCCCCCTCATCCAGAACATGCACCCCAGCCTGGCTGGAAAGATCACTGGTATGCTGTTGGAGATAGACAACTCTGAGCTGCTCCACATGCTGGAGTCTCCCGAGTCTCTCCGATCCAAGGTGGATGAGGCTGTTGCTGTGCTGCAGGCCCACCAGGCCAAGGAGTCCGCCCAGAAGCCCACCAACCCTGCTGGAGTCCCCAGCTAAGAACTGGTAAGAACCGCTTAGAATGTAAATGTTGTATTATTTAAGCTGTTAAAATGTTACATCAATGTTAGTATGCTACTAATGTTCATGTGTTTTTGTTTCAGAGACGGAAATCCTTAACTTGCTTCACCGAAGAAAATTTTAGAAAAAATTTAAACATGGAAAAAAACGGAAAACTCTGAAAACATCGCAAAATGATAAAGTATTTCTTTACAAAAATGAATACACGATCTGCCAGGTCTAGAGAAGATGAAGCTAGTCCTTGTTATTAAAAGTACAAAAGTTGACAAAAAAAATTGCAAAGCTATCAAATAATTGAAAACGTTTGACAAATGTGACCATAACATTCCATTGTTCTATTTCCTCTTCCTGTCAGTACTCAGAATATCAGCTGTTCAGAGATAATAGATAGCTGACTACTTTGAAAAGTCATTTGGATTGAAAACTGCTTAATAAAGATATCAAACACTTAAAATGGCTGCCTTTTCCTTGAGATAGTGCATGGACATTCATCAAACCTCTTTGTAGATTGGTAGATAGCATTTACATTATAGTAAATCTACTGATAGGCAGAAGTATTAAGATTATGAGCAAGAGTGTTTTCCCACTTTAGTGCACTGTAGTAGTTAATTGAAACACTGAGTTGTACTTTGTGAAAATGGGTATTGCAGAGCACTAGCATGGAGTGGCAGGAGCTGAAGTCATCCACTAGGTGGCACTAGTTTACTGAAATAATGGCGCTGAATGTGGTGTACATCTCCAGTTTAGAGAGATCCCATCTCAGTTCACCAGTCGCTTTACGACCTCCCAAATATGGTCTCACGCTCTCCTCTTTAAACTAATGAGTGTATTCTTCAGAGATGACTAGCGATGACTAGTCAGCCAGTAATCTTACATCTGTGACCCTCACTCCAGTGCTTGTGTAGTAGACCAAGCCATGTGTTTAGTGATTAGAGGCATTCATAAAAGCTAGGACCAGCCTTGCATAATTGACTACCAAGCCCCAGTGTAGCAGTGCGTTTTATTTTTTTTGACTACGATACGTGTAATTTCATTCTAAAGGGTGGCAGTAATTATGCCAATAAAGTTGGTGTTCGTAGGATGTGTAGTATTACCAAACCCAACAGGAGATTGAGAGTCACAACTGGCAGATACTGAACATAGTTGGTTAGTTTCCAGAACTCCCAGTGAGCATCCAGAAAAAGCTGCTTTTTTTCTGGCTTTTCCTCAACCAGTCCAGACTGTCCAACTAAAGTCTGTCCTTGACCTCTCTTGGTTCTGTAATGGTTTATATTCTATCGTAGTGTCCTCTGTCTGTTTGCAGATTATTCAGCCAGTGCTACGCAGTATACCAGTCATACAGAATGGCTCTGTTCTCTAATATTAGCTAGTATACCAGTCATACAGAATGGCTCTATTCTCTAATATTAGCTAGTATACCAGTCATACAGAATGGCTCTGTTCTCTAATATTAGCTAGTATACCAGTCATACAGAATGGCTCTATTCTCTAATATTAGCTAGTATACCAGTCATACAGAATGGCTCTATTCTCTAATATTAGCTAGTATACCAGTCATACAGAATGGCTCTATTCTCTAATATTAGCTAGTATACCAGTCATACAGAAAGGCTCTATTTGCTAGTATACCAGTCATACAGAATAGCTCTATTCTCTAGTATTAGCTAGTATACGAGTCATACAGAATGGCTCTGTTCTCTAATATTAGCTAGTATCCCAGTCATACAGAATGGCTCTATTCTCTAATATTAGCTAGTATACGAGTCATACAGAATGGCTCTATTCTCTAATATTAGCTAGTATACCAGTCATACAGAATGGCTCTATTCTCTAGTATTTGCTAGTATACCAGTCATACAGAATGGCTCTGTTCTCTAATATTAGCTAGTATACGAGTTATACCGAATGGCTCTATTCTCTAGTATTAGCTAGTATACCAGTCATACAGAATGGCTTTGTTCTCTAGTATTTGCTAGTATACCAGTCATACAGAATGGTCCTATTCTCTAATATTAGTTAGTATACCAGTCATACAGAATGGCTCTGTTCTCTAATATTAGCTAGTATACCAGTCATACAGAATGGCTCTATTCTTTAGTATTTGCTAGTATACCAGTCATACAGAATGGCTCTGTTCTCTAATATTAGCTAGTATCCCAGTCATACAGAATGGCTCTATTCTCTAATATTAGCTAGTATACGAGTCATACAGAATGGCTCTATTCTCTAATATTAGCTAGTATACCAGTCATACAGAATGGCTCTATTCTTTAGTATTTGCTAGTATACCAGTCATACAGAATGGCTCTGTTCTCTAATATTAGCTAGTATACGAGTTATACAGAATGGCTCTATTCTCTAGTATTAGCTAGTATACCAGTCATACAGAATGGCTCTATTAGCTAGTATACCAGTCATACAGAATGGCTTTATTCTCTAGTATTTGCTAGTATACCAGTCATACAGAATGGTTCTATTCTCTAATATTAGCTAGTATACCAGTCATACAGAATGGCTCTATACTCTAGTATTTCTAGTATACCAGTCATACAGAATGGCTCTATTCTCTAGTATTAGCTAGTATATGTGTCATACAGAATAGCTCTATTCTCTAGTATTTGCTAGTATACGAGTCATACAGAATGTCTCTGTTCTCTAATATTAGCTAGTATACCAGTCATACAGAATGTCTCTATTCTCTAGTATTTGCTAGTATACCAGTCATACAGAATGGTTATATTCTCTAGTATTAGCTAGTATACCAGTCATACAGAATGGCTCTGTTCTCTAATATTAGCTAGTATACCAGTCATACAGAATAGCTCTATTCTCTAGTATTTGCTAGTATACCAGTCATACAGAATGTCTCTGTTCTCTAATATTAGCTAGTATACCAGTCATACAGAATGTCTCTATTCTCTAGTATTTGCTAGTATATCAGTCATACAGAATGGTTCTATTCTCTAGTATTAGCTAGTATACCAGTCATACAGAATGGCTCTATTCTCTAGTATTTGCTAGTATACCAGTCATCCAGAATGTCTCTGTTCTCTAATATTAGCTAGTATACCAGTCATACAGAATGGCTCTATTCTCTAGTATTTGCTAGTATACCAGTCATACAGAATGGCTCTGTTCTCTAATATTAGCTAGTATACCAGTCATACAGAATGGCTCTATTCTCTAGTATTTGCTAGTATACGAGTCATACAGAATGGCTCTATTCTCTAATATTAGCTAGTATACCAGTCATACAGAATGGCTCTATTCTCTAGTATTAGCTAGTATACCAGTCATACAGAATGGCTCTATTCTCTAGTATTAGCTAGTATACCAGTCATACAGAATGGCTCTATTCTCTAGTATTTGCTAGTATACCAGTCATACAGAATGGCTCTATTCTCTAGTATTTGTTAGTATACCAGTCATACAGAATGGCTCTATTCTCTAGTATTTTCTAGTATACCAGTCATACAGAATGGCTCTATTCTCTAGTATTTGCTAGTATACCAGTCATACAGAATGGCTCTATTCTCTAGTATTAGCTAGTATACCAGTCATACAGAATGGCTCTATTCTCTAGTATTTGCTAGTATACCAGTCATACAGAATGGCTCTATTCTCTAGTATTTGTTAGTATACCAGTCATACAGAATGGCTCTATTCTCTAGTATTTTCTAGTATACCAGTCATACAGAATGGCTCTATTCTCTAGTGTTTGCTAGTATACCAGTCTAGTATATTCTGTGTTGTTACATCATTCAAGCCAAATAATCAAAACCAAAATCGAAAACTGTTATTTTTTTCATCTAACCGAAACCGAAGAGACCTCAAAAAGCACCAATCGCTCAGCACTGTCGGGGCATGGACTCTGCAAGGTGTCGAAAGCGTTCTACAGGAATGCTGGCCCATGTTGACTCCAATGCTTCCCACAGTTGTGTCAAGTTGGCTGGATGTCCTTTGGGTGGTGGACCATTCTTGATACACACGGGGAACAGTTGAGCGTGAAAAACCCAGCAGCGTTGCTGCTCTTGACACAAACCGGTGCGCCTTGCATCTACTACCGTACCCCGTTCAAAGGCTCTTAAATATTTTGTCTTGCCCATTCACCCTCTGAATGGCACACGTACACAATCCATGTCACAATCGTCTCAAGGCTAAAAAATACTTATTTAACCTGTTTCCTCCCCTTCATCTACACTGATTGAAGTGGATTTAACAGGTGACATCAATAAGGTATCATAGCTTCCACCTGGATTCACCTGGTCAGTCTATGTCATGGAAAGAGCAGGTGCTCCTAATGTTTTGTATACTCAGTGTATATTTAAGCAATGAGGCCCGGGGGTGTGTGGTATATTGCCAATATACCATGGCTAAGGGCTGTTCTTAATGCACGACGCAACGCGGAATTCCTGAATACATCCCTTAGCCGTGGTATATTGGCCACGTACCACAAACCCCTGAGGTGCCTTATTGCTATTATAAACTGGTTACCAACATAAATAGAACAGTAAACAAGTAGTTTTGAGTCATACCCATGGTATATTGTCTGATATACCATGGCTGTCAGCCAATCAGCATCCAGGACCCAAACTAGCCGGTTTATAATTATAATTATAAACTGGGTGGTTCGAGCCCTGAATGCTGATTGGCTGACAGCCATCGTATATCAGACCGTATACCATGGGTAATTTATTTGTACTACTCTAATTACGTTGGTAACCAGTTTATAATAGCAATAAGGCACCTCGGGGGTTTGTGATAAATGGCCAATATACCACGACTATTGGCCACATACCACACCTCCTCGGGCCTTATTGCTTAAATATATGGTTCTGCTTGTGAGTATTCAAGTTTTTTTTAAATCAAACGTGAGATTGTGAGATTTTCTCTGGTGTTTACAGAACAACTGGTGCTGTGAGATCAGGATATCAGGATTAAAGGTTGCTGTGAGATTAGGATATCAGGACCTGTTTAGG